GGAAATAGAGGTGAAGTTGTTTAAGGGAGTGGCATACATCATGAGAAATTGTGAAACAGTTCTTAGATTTGCCACTCTTAACACAAACTGCTTATCATTTCATGAACATTTTTTGGTGCAAGTACAAACATTTTAGAGTTCATTGATAGCTAAACATAACACTAGCATTTCATGACAGAATCTGAAGGAACCAAGTGTATAAAGGACTAAAGATAAACAAACTTGATATTATGTTATATTTTGTAAATTAAATTTGAGATCTTATGATTTGAAAAGTATGCTGCCAAAAATAACCTTCTGTAGTGTTTGCAGTTCTACTTTTAAGTGAATTCTCCAACACCTATGATAATTTACTATCTTATGTGTTGTAGCCAATACTGAAATATGAATATATATATATATGTTATCGTGTACTACTGAAGGTTACTTATATAATAATTCTTAAGACTTTGAAATTAACTTTGATATTAAAGTTTAAAAGAACTTAGCAATTTTTTAAGTAAAATATCTTATTTTGTTTTAATAATTTCAAATGCTATATTTATAATCTTTTTTTGGTCCATATTGGTTATGTGTGCATAAAAATAATTTTTTTCTCTCAATATTTGTAGTTTTTCATTAACCTGTTTAGATCAATGAATGTTTTTTTTGTTAAATTAGAATTATTTTTTCTGTTTCATATGTATAAGTCATTATGAACTTCTATTACTTTTGTACTTTTGTGTTCTAACTTTATTACTATACAGACATAGTTCATAACAGTTTATTTTTATTCTGCTATCTTCCTGATTATTTTTTCTTCTTTCTACTAGGCAAATAAGGAAATTAAGGTCACATTAAACCATGACAAAATCCTGCTTCTTGTGCGTAAAATAAAAGGTAAACATTAGTAAATATCTGATTTTTACAGTTTGTTATTCATCAGAATGCCATAGGTATATATGAATGCTAAGATAATCATTGTGTCTCTCATGTGATACTGTTATACTTTCATACTTTCCATGTTGCAGATGTTTTGTGTTAATAAAGTAAGTTTAAGAAGCAAACTTATATATACAGATAGTAAATATATTCCACTAGCTTATTTGTGATTTGAAATTTATTTGTTATAGAATATAGCTTTATTTCAAAATTTCAGTTTTAGATACATAAAATTTTTCTTAGTTATTTCAAATTAATGTATTTTATTTAGTGTGATGAAAGACAAAAAAGAACCATTGTTATAGTTTGAACTAATTGTTTGAAATATTGTATATCTGCAGTGCTTTGTCAGTTGTTATTTT